TAGACACCGGGACATTTGTCATGGGTGACCCCGCGCCTCGGCTTCTGAGCCCACTCCGGCGTGGGGAGACCAGCGCTAATGTAATAAAGCGAGAGCGACAAGAGGAAAGGCCTCTCTCGCCCCGGGGCCGCCACATGCTCACTCCGTTTTACTGTCAGGGCTGGTCGAGGCTGCGGCTTCATTTCATATTCCATTAATATTTACAGCAGCTATTGAATTTCCCATTACAAAGTTCACCATACACAGCGCTAATATGAAATTTTAATAGTATTGTGCACATTATGAAAAGTCCCACCATTAAAAGGGGAGGGGGAGGATCGCAGGGAGAAGTTACCCTGAGAAGTTACTTGCCACTGAGCGCTTAAAATGCTCCCAAGGCTGGGGAGGGGGTCGTACTCATTTGCAACTATTATCATAAAGATGCGAAGCAGTGGGCTTGTTATCAAAGTTGAAATCGAAAGAGAGGGAGAAAGTGGGGAAAAAAAGCAGGCTGACTAAATTGAGTTTTCCAAGTTGTGTGTGGCTTTGCCCTCACTTAGACGAAGTGATTCTATTCTGGTTTGTATGAAGTACGTGTGGAACAAGCCAGAAGATCTCCAGGTTGGCTCGAGTTCTAGCTGCCATCCTCTTTGGTAGCCCCATGGGCTGTGCGAGGGTAGGTGTGTGGCTCTGAGAAAGCCCTGCCTTCCTCAAATCCTGTCCCCTCCCTGCCAGCCACCAAGGTCCTCAAGGTCCCAAAACTGCCGTCCTACCTGTGGCTCCAAGAGAACAAACTTCGCTAAGAACCATGGTAATCTATTTCTCTGTGTGGCATTTAACTTTTCCGGATTAATACCCTAAGGGGGCGGGGATACCTTATGAGCTGCATTGGGCTGGGGAATGGCACCCCATACTCCAACCCCGGGGAGGGCCAATAGTTAACTTGGGGTGAAAAGAAATGGAGACACAGTGGAAATGAGGCTGCCCAAGAAAGAAAGTGGGGGATCCAGAGCCTGCAGCCCAGGTTAGGATAGCTATTCTGCCTCTCAAGGGTTGCTTCATGGAACTTAAGGGTCAGGTCTGCTGGAGCATCCAGTTCCAACTCATAGCTCACCTTTCAGCACCCAGGATCAGGTGGCAACGCTATGAACAAAGGCATCACACACACACACACACACACACACACACACACACACACGCGCGCGCGCGCGCGCGCGCGCGCGCGCGCGCTTTGTCAAGACGACCAAGACCTTACTTTCTATAGTTGGTACCCAGTGTCACCAGCTCACTGGGATGTATCCTGTCAGGCTACCCATGTGAACTCTTAAGAATATTCAACTTCCTAAAGGACTCATTTCCCCCAAGTTTCTTCCTTTTAAAACATCATCTTATCCTACAGAAAGGAAAGTTTCTTTTCTCTTTCTTTCTTTCTTTCTTTCTTTTCTTTCTTTTTTTGGTTGGGGGCCTGGGTGGGATAAACTGTGATTGCTCTAGTCTGCACCAAGCTTTCCCATTCTATCCACCCACCCTCACACAATCTCTCCTCACACTTCTCCACTCGTGAATTAATGACAGTACTTTGAGCAGTGCCGCAGTGTCTTAATAGGCTTCTATTTCTGTAAGGAGAGGGCAATTTGTGGATCTTCAGGTTACTTTATAGCTAAAGGGATGACAGTGACAGAAGGTAAAGAAGGATGACAAATCCTCAGGATGATCTGCTATCGATACCACCCCCTCCCCATTTAAAAAGTAGTACTGTTATTTATTACTATCCCCCATATTTTTGTGAGTTGTGTGTGTGTGTGTTAAAGTCCCCTGAATGTGTCACACTTTGTCACATCCTCTGTGTGTGTTTTTAGAGAACATTTGAATGAAAGGCTCGATGCCAGGTATTGGTGACACAGGGGGTGGAATTTTCAGCCGTTCCACAAAGAGTTGGCCGTCTCTATTTGCATAAGGTCAGAGTAGGGCTTGTGATAGAACTTCACCAGCATCTCTGTCTCTTAGCAACACTCTTGCACTCTTGGTCCCTGCATTAAATTGACTGGTCCCTTCCTTTTCTTCCTTTCATTGGGAGGCTTACAATAAAATGTCACCCTTCCAACCTGTGCCTGTCACCCAGTAGGTCATCTGTATCTCCCACACACACACATTTTCCCTCCCTCCCCTTCCCCTCTCCTCCTCCTCCCCTTTCTCCAAAGCTCCAATTAGAGACTGAGAGGATTCACTGGGTGAAATCCCAAAACTGTTTCATTTTATGATGTTAATTAATATTAATACCACTTTCCCCTTTGTTTTAATTTTTAAAATCCCTCATAAACAGGCAAGATAAGGAGTAAATTGCCAGCACCTGCCAAACAATGGGTCTGGAGAGGAGCAATAAGGCAGATGGAGATGGAGGGTTTAGGTTAGTCTCTTCAACTATTCAGCTGGTGAGGGGTTCAGTGCCACATAGAAACCCTGGAAGTGCTTGGACTTTGCCAGGCAGCCCTCTTGGCTCTAAGATGGGAACCAGTGACAGGATCCAGATGCTGATAGGTAGTGTTAATGGAGGGTCACGTCTGGACAATAGTATCCATCACTTGCCTCCTGGCTCTCCTGTCAGATGGAGTCATTTCTGACTACTCCATCACTCAGATTTAGGATAGATTCAATTATTACCTTCTTCTTGGCAACAGAATATACAGATTGGTACCCAAAGGACTAAACAGTAATGGCAATAGTTCTTATTAGTAGTTCTTATTATTGGCTTACTGTACATCCTTTTTTTCTTAATTTTGAAAGAACATTTTAGATATTTGTTGCTTTCTTTCCTATTTTATTCCAGCAACAGCTGTCCAGAAAGATACCCCAACAGGATAATGGTTGCTTAACTAGTGCACAACACACACACACACACACACACACACACACACACACACACTTTTGGCTGAAACTCTGAATGATCTCTGCTGCTTTTTAATCATTTTGTCAGTTGTGCAAATTAAATATCTTCTGGATTCTTCTACAGTTTTGCAAACTTCTGACTTGGAAAATGTCTATTAACCATCCTTCATGGTACACAGTGTTTCTCACCATTTGAAAAGTGCTTGTAACCGAATGTAAGTAGAAGTTGTACCTGAAATAAGAAGAAGAAAAAAAAAAAAGATAGGAAGAGCCCTTGATACATTTTTCTGTCCAAAAGCTAATAATTTGTTTGAGTAAATGTAGTTTTAAAATCCTAAGAAATTCTGTCAAAGAGGCTGAACTTCCTTTGAATTCATCTCTTTCTCCTGGGACATAAAAACTGACCCCCCCCCTTCTTAGAGGAGCAGTTAGTTTTCTGAAACATATTACTCATTCATTTGAGTGTTGGAAATGGTAAGATATACACCCTGCTTTCCCTGGTATTTTTACATCCTCTCCCCTCTGCTTTCTCCTCTCCTCTTTGTGGATCACATACCCTGTAATTCTTGTAACACATTCCCAGATAAATGCGCAGGTAATGGGGCCCAAGCAATGCACCCAGGGTTAAAAGTAAACCAGCTCCTCTTTAATAATTCACATGTTGTGTTTTTTCCACAATGTCAAGTTTGCTAAGGAAGATAGACAAAGGTGAGGGGTAGCCACTTGAGTTTGCTATTCCAAGTCTCAGAAGAGGAAAGCTATAGAAACAAATGACCCCCCCCCCAACTCTTTCATATGGTGACTGATGTTCCCTTGTTGGCCATGTTTTAGGACTTCAGCAAGATGCTTGAAAAATTTTGCAAAGGTGAGGGGGGGTCCTGAGACTTTGCCCATTCTCATCGATTCAAATTTACAAGTTTACCCCACTTCCTGCTTCCACCATACAATTCCCAGTGGGTATTCTTCCCACGGTAAGACCACCTCAGCCAGAGCCAATTCACTTACAATGATGGTTCCTACTTTCACTCTCTGTAAGTGACCTATATTCATGGTGAGACTGTTTCCCCTCCCCGCCAGGGGCATATCCCCATTCCTTTACTTTCTAGAAGGATCTGGTGGAAATTTAAGATGTATACCTTTATTTTTCAACAACTTGCCCTTTCCAGGAAAGAGAGAAGGATATAATGCACAGACAGAGGGGAGACGATGAAAAATCAAGGAACTTTAAAGCACACAGTTTTATTCTGGAGTATAAATTGAAACAAGGTTCCATATAGAAATAGAGAAGAAAGGAAATATGAAAATTAAGTTGCACCTTTACTTTTCTCAGGTGCTCACACAGGGTCAGGGAGTACAATCCCCAACCTGGCTTGCATTGCTCTCCAGGCACCTATTATCCTCTCAAATTTTAAGGATACACATTTATACAGACCATGCCAAGGAAGTCATTTCGTTTACAATGTCCCTCCCCCAGCCGTTTCCAAACCAAAATATTGAAGGAAAGTTTTTGACAAGGGTTTTAACATGCCACTTATTTAGTGAGAAGAACCACACTCTTTTCCAACTCTTTACCTGGCAGTAGTCAGCCTTTTGAAGAACAAGCACCCTGCATTTGTTTAGTTCTGAGAGATTCCTAACAAAACAATACAGGAGAAGAGACATAGAGTTTTCTCTTCATGGTCCAGTTATTGCTAGTCATATATCATGCCAGAAGAGAAAACAGCACCCATTACATTCATCTTACTACTTTTTTGTTAGTTAAAAAAAAAATCCTGTTTTGTCGTGTGTTTTCCCCATCCTCTTAGTTTTGTGACTAGTTAATTTTGGTAGCTATTTTTGCAGCTGTTATTCAGTACACAGTGGGTGCCCAGCGCATTGTTTTAGACTCAGTTCCAACCACGTGAACTTTCTTTGACTGTGGTCAGACACTGGAAGTATGGATCTGTTTGTACTCTGATGCAAGTGGTTGGGGGAATGCAACAGACAAAAAAAAAATGGATAGCTAATATTTAATCAAGATCAGAAACACTTTGACAGAAAAGGGAAAAAGCAGAGTTATGAAAAGAAAAAAGTCATAAAAGTTGGGATGGGGTTGAGAAAACAAAGTTAGAAGGCACTGTTTTGTTACACAGAGGATAGAACCTGGCAAAATGTGTCCAAGATCTGGTTTCTTTGAAACCCCCCCCAAAAAAAAAACAAAAACAAAACAAAACAAAACAAAAAAACTTGGATCTTTTTTCCAACGATACAAGAACCCAAATTTCTCCAACTAAGCAAGAACCCAAAAACTTCAGCTACCTTTTGTTTTGTTTTGTTGTTTTTTACCAAGCAGAACACAGGAAGCAGGAAACATTTGTGCCCATAAGCTATGAATTTCCGATCTATCTATGCTCTCTGCCTCGATAGTGGAATTAGATAAGATTGCTCACTTTTTTGCTTCCATCGATTTTTGAAAAGGAAGGAGAAGAGGAACTACAGCTTCCTTTTAACGGTTTGCACACTGTCAAAAATTTTTCTGATCTGAGGCTTGGGTGAGCGGCACCCTTCATGAAAATGAGCTTGGGGGGAGCAATGCTAGCTTTGACATCTACCAACTTTGGCTTTCTTGCCAGGGATTCTGAGACTAGGATTGGGATAAACATATTTCACTTTTTGTGTGACAAGCTTCCTCAGAAGTCCCTTGTCTCTTCTCCAGCACTCTCCAGCTGAGCTGGCATCCTCAAGGCAACCGGAATCCTACTAGGTCAACATCCCCATGGAGTGCTGATGTTCTGGTGGCGGGTCTCCCACTCCACAGCGCACTTTAGGGCAGATCGAGTTCTTCAGGTCTGGACAGCAGCACTGTGTTTTCATTGGAGATGGGTGATTAAAAGCACCCATTAAAAGCACAGACTGCTGGAAGCGGGAGTAGGAAGAAGGATGCGCTCCCCTCTCTGAGAAGTCAGTTCCTTGAAAGACCCTGTGCAGCTAAGACTGAGGTCACTGTACTAAGCAAGCCCAGAAAAAAGAAAAAAAATAAAAATAAAAAACTGGCAGAAAATCTCTCTCTCTCTCCCTTGGTGTCATTTTTTTCCCTCCCGTGCTAACTTCGTGAGAAGAGGGGAACGGAGAAAAAAAAAATTCGAGTAAAGTCTAGTAGAAGTTTGCAAAAGGTTGATGGTAGGAAGACAGCTTCTGGCAGAGGATCAGGAAGAAACCAGCTCGGGAGAGCGAAGTGTCCATTTCCCGCCTGTGAATGAAAAACACAGAAAGTTGCAAACTTGGGGAGCCGGTAGGGCCAGCTTTTTCTAGAGCAATCAGCTGCGGCAGCTTCTATTGAGAGGGTGCCAGGACAGGGCTCTGCGCATCGGTGGCAGGGCCGTCGATGGCCGGGAGATTCGTCTGGTTCCTCAGCAGCTGCAGCAGGCAGTGTAGCTGCGTGGCTCCCACCCCGCCCAGCCCGCAGCCGCGACCTCGAGTCCTGCTCACACCTATCATTTGGGGCCATCTTCGCTCAGTCTTCCAAACATTCCGAGGGTTTTTGATTCCACTCGCCAGCTCCTTCTTATTGAGTTCTCCGCGGTCTCCCTGCAACTTGTCATAGCCTGTAATAAAATGCCCTTTCTGTCGGGAGTTAAAGTCCAGAGGGCAGCGGTTCTATTTGCAGCTGACAGCCAAGAAAAGGAGCCGCCGCGGCCTCGCTTTTGTCTGTCTGGGACTTTAACTCCTGCAGGGCCGGCTACAGAGAACTAGCGGCTCCACAGTCCCAGCATCCTAGGATGCCTCAGGTAGTGGGAAATTGCAACCCTAGACACCCCAGGGTGGAGATCTCGTGCTTGGCCTGTGCCCTTCCCTGCCTGAGGAGTTCGATTGTAAGCAAGTTCTGGACCTGTGAGGCTGCATACTACATACACTCTGTTGAGAAGCAGTTCTCAACTAAAGGACCTTGTTTTACTCTTTGGGCGGAGTGGGCTTGAGGAAGAAAAACACAGTGTGGGGAAGGAGCAGAAGGAAAGATTGTTAAGATAACCCCTAGGTGAATATCCCAGGAGCTTTCACCTGGATTAGTTAGCAAACCACTTCATCTATTTCCTCAGTTAGCCAAACGGTCCTAAAATTATTTCCATATCCTGGGAACAAAATAGGAAGACTTTGCATGGTTTTCTGGTCCACCAGGTGCCTGAGAAGATAATGTGAACCAGTAATCTAAATCTCACCTGCTTGGGAAGTGCCCAGCCAGTGAGTTTGCATCCCCAGTCGGCAGTGTATATAGCACAAGATACTTTGTGTGGTCCTGGGGCTGTCTTCTGGTTCCACAGATGCCTGACCACAACTAATCTGATGGATTCAGGAAACCAACCCACTTCTTACCTGGCCAGCCCCTTCAGAAGTCACTCTAGAATACTCTAAGTAAGGGTGCTGGTGGGTGTCAGTGTCTCCCAGACATTGTGCTCCTGTCTTCAACACTTGGTGAGTTTAGTGAGTCCTTGGTTATGATAGCACCTGGTGGGGGAGGAGAATTGGGAGCTCAGGTCAGTGAGGACAGATCAGTGAGGGAAAGGGTAGCTAAACAAGAGTTTCTGAAATTACCTTATTATTTTACCTTTGGGACAAAGAAGATGCTGGCCATATCTGTAGAGCATATCACCGGTGTTGCCATGCCTTGGGTCTCTTCCCCACTTCTAGATCCTCGCTTCGATCCTAGAACTCCTTGTTCTGAGTTCCCAAAGGGAGGAGAATGTGAGACTGTTCTCATCCAGGAAAACAGCCCACCCTCCTTCTTTCTGGCCAGTCCTTATTGCTTCTTATGTACAGTGAACGTAAGTGCATCTCTTACACACAGCGGTACATCTTACAAACAGTGTGCAGAAATGCACATCAGTACATCTCTCTTGGACATCCACAAGGATATAAACCTGTCCCCAACATGCACATCTGATTCCCCTGTCCCTGTCTAACTTCATATACATCACTCACTCCACCTTCTTCTGACTCTAGGAAGTTACTAAGAACTTGAAATCAATAGTGTCAAAAATCCAGGAAACCTGAGAAATTGACCAGCTGAACTCTGCAGATGGTTTCCCTCTGGAAGATGGAAGTTATACAGCATTGTACAATGTGGGAGGCATATGATATTGTATAATGTAATAGTTATACAATATTGCATAATGTGGGAGGCATACAATATTGTATAATGTGGGAATTGTACAATATTCCTCCACAGAGAGTCCATTGTGCTCAGCTTAAGGAAAAAAAAGACTTTGAGCATTCTATATCAGAAGTCACCAAGTCACCAGTTAGATGCAATGGGGAGATACAGTAGGAGAAAGTGTGCTATCTAGGAGAATTTAAGGGGAGGGGGCAACATGGGGAAACACTTTACAGCACTCTGCTGCCTTGTCAGCCACAATTCCCAGTGCTGTATTTCTTTCTAAGGTTTGATCTGTGGGTCTCTAGCAAGGTTCTTGATGCAGACCAAAAATAGTGGTTTGATGTTCTTCTGCCAGCAATACCAGCCTTGTGAAGGTGACCGCCTCTGTCCCTTTCCGTCCTTTGGAAAAGCCAGAATTCTCTCCCCAGCCCCAGGAGGCCAACTTTTACGGAAACCACTGTTCATTTAAAGCACTGGTTGAGATACTCAGGTCATATCTGAAAATATGGACAATGATACCCTTATTCTCCCAGTTACCTGGGGGATTCTATTCAAAATGAAGCTATCTGGGGACACAGGAAAGCCAGTAAATTTCCTGATGCACAAAAGAAAATGATGCTCTCTGCCTTCTGCCTATTTCCACTCAAAAGTGAATAATGCCCCAGTTACCACCAGGCCTGACTTGAATTATCTTGGTTAATAGGATTAAAGTGTCAGCCTCTCTCAAGAACTTCCAAGTGCATACCCGGAGTGTCACTGACTGGCTAGTGTCTTCTCTCCTCTCTGATGGGCATAATGACGCACCTACAAGCAGAGGGCCTTTGTCCGCTGGGAGCAAGCAGATTATCTGTCTCCAGTGAAATAAGGCGTGTTGTAGCCTCCTTTGCCAAGACTCAAAGCCAGAAGGCAGTCACTATAAAATAATTGTGTCACTACCTCACCAGCACACTGTCCCTGCTTCATTTGTCTTTTGACTGTAATTGAATGGTTGAAGAGCAGAAATGTAGACAAATTCCAGCTGTATTGAGATCTGTTTCTTCCTCCACTACCTCGGCCCATCATTAGATACTTTCCCTCTCTGCGCAGGAGGTCAGAGTGTATAAATATAAATTGCATTTTGCATTACTTCTAGATGAGTGAAGCTGTCAAAGCAATAATATGAGCTTTCAGTCCCACATTCTACCACTTCTTTCCCATTTTTTGGCCGGGAGGTCATGTGCAAATTGAACGTGACAACCCAGAAGACATGTCCAACAGACTCGTATTGTTACCCGCCTCAGCTGCCTGGCTCATAACAACATTAAACCCACATTAGTCCCCAGCCTCTGCCAGGCAGGAGCTCCCAAAGGCAAGGCCCAGGCTGCTCTGAAAGTTCACTTCAGTGGTGACATGTCACCTGCAAGTCATTGGCAACCGTGGCTAAAATATTTGCCTCGTAAGATTTATGAGGATGTCCCAATACAAAGGCAAGGACAGTGTTCATAAGACAAAGAACAAAGCAGGAGGGGAAGTGTCAAAGAGGCCTCTAGCACTCAAATGTTCTAATACACGCGTGTGCACATTCACATACACGGGGTAGAGCTATCCTTGATCCTATGTGAAAGTACACATATTTCCCAGAATCCAACTGTAATGTGGTTGGACATAATTTGTGTTGTTATCTCCACAAGGAGAACGTGGTTTTGAAAGCTACCTGAAAATTTCCATTGACTTTATCCTCTCATTAGCAAGTCCTGATAACGAAACTCAATTCCATAACAAAGATGAAGTTTCAGCCTACAACACAGCCCTAAAATGGTGACTCTCCAAACTGCGCTGTACTGAAAGGGATATGAAAGTTTCAATTTCAAGGACGTTGAGAGACTTGGAGGATCTGATCAGCAATTATCTGTCTGCATGACCCATTCATGTCTTGCCCATATTGCAGTTAAGGGAGAGCTGTTGTTCGCAGACAGGGTGTTTGATGGTTTCTAGGAAATGAGTGGCTGTTTTCATTCCTGTTCCAAATGGACAGGTGTCGACATCGGAATTGGCAACCTGGTTGGCAGACTCAGAGAGCGGCCAACGGACAAATTGTTTATGCAGAATAAACTTCCATCTCTCCCATGATGACAGTTCATATGTGAGTACGGGCGGTAGGAAGGGAGGAGATGTGGAGTGCTGGGGCAGAAAGATTGATACCAGGCCATGAAGCATGCAGGGGCTACAGCCCTTTGGTTCCAAGTGGCGCCATATGCAATGGCACTTCTCCTGGAGCTCATTGTGGTCTAAATGCACAGATGAAAGTCTTTTCACCTTCCATAGGATGCTCATATCAGTCTCAACAAATGAAATTAATCAAACCGAACGTCTGGGCCGACTTTGTTAAATGAGCCCCATTTCCACACATCCTTTCTTTCTCAAAGAAAGTGTCCTTGTTTTTACTCCCTTGAGTGAACTGGATGTGCTTACATATTGAGTGTGAGAACATGGCAACTGAGGGCCACACCTGGGAATACTGAATTCAAATAAGGAGATTCCTTTTGTTACCAGTGGGTAGATGTCATCATACGTTATCATATACTACCTAAGGGTAACTTCCGGATTTCTGGGAGTTTGCATGCCCCTATCATTTGTACTCATAACTCTTACAATCCAATTATTTGTGCTGAATTTTGCTTCTGGGGTTAACACGCTATATAGGATGGTGATTATGCATAAGGAAAGCAATACTATAGTACCTCAGGATGCGATGTCTTGTTGTCATTCATTTTTGTTTTGCTCTCTTGTTTATGATAGGGTCTCATGTAGCACTGGCTAATTTCAAACTCATTGTGCAGCTGAATATGGCCTTGGACTCCTGGTCTTCCTCCTTCTGCCAGCTGAGTACTAAGATTAAAGATATGTACCACCACACGCAGTTAATCCGATATCCTTTTTAAATTGTTTATTTGTTTGACTGCCTCAGTGTAATGTGTATGCACTGCCTGTGTGCAGGAGCCCATAGAGACCAGAAGAGGCCATCAGATCCCCTGGAACTAGAGCACAGACGGTTATGAGCTGCCATATGGATACTGAAAACCAAACTCAGGTCCTGTGCAAGAGCTAACCCCTAAGCAATCTCTCCAGCCCCCTGATATACTCTTACTATCAGACTTCTCCTGTCACATAAAGTAAGGCTGTTTTAACTTGAAAAGTATTGTTAACAATATTGCAAACCCCTTTGATTGACTAAAGAGCTGAAAGTTGCCATGTGTTGACACTGAAAATATGTGCACATAATTTTGGACATTATTTTCTAAATGCTTATAGTATTTTTATTACATTTATTTGTTTATGTGTGTGTGAGTGTGTGCACACACGTGCACAGTCACAATAAGCATGTGTAGGTCAGAGGACAACTTGTGGGAAGTGGTTTTCTTCTTACACCATGTAGGTGTCCAGGGTTCAAACAGCTTGTTAAGCCTAGTCACCAGTCCCTTAATCCATGGAACCATCTTGCTAGCAGCTGTCTATAGTTATTAAGAACGACTAGTTGGGCACTGTAGCTCACACCTTTAATCCCAGCACTTGCGAGGAATAGGCAGGTGGCTCTCTCTAAGTTCAAAGTCAGCCTAGTCTAAATAGTGAGCTCCTGGCCAGCTAGAGCTACATGGTGAGACCTTACATCGAAAAACAAAAGGATAGATGTTCAAAATTTAAGACCATTACTCTCCCCATCACAAGTATAATATAGTTCTCCTTTATCCAAAGGCATGATAAAACTTACTCTTATACCACATAAGAACTTCTCTATAGCCTTGAGTACACATTTTTAATTCTCTAGCATAAAAGTGTTGGTGGCTTTTAATTTATAAATTTATTCAAGGACTCTTGAAGTCATGTTTTCCAAAAGCAGAGCAATTTCTCAGAGGCAACTGTACTTACTGCTGCTGTTCATGACAGTTACAAAAAAAGGAAGGTGGGACCTCCCTAAGTGTCATTATGGTCCTCTGTGAAATGGAAGTACTGATTCCCAACTCATTTATGAAAACAAAGAAGTTAGACAAAGTGTATAAAGTGTGCAGCATGGTGAGGACACTGGAACTTGCTGGCCCAGCTCCAGATTCAGTGAGAGACCCTATGTCAAAAGAATAGGAGTGGAGTAATTGAACAGAACAACCAAGACCTTCGTTTAGCCTCCACATGACACTTGGACATACAGAACACATGCAACATGCACACATATACACAAACTTCATGTGCTAGGCTGACCCAAAGATGTATCTTACAATCTGAAGGAAAATGCAGAGAGTTGGAATATATTATTTTACTCTCTGACATCAATGATTCATTTCTAGAAATAGGACCAAAACTTTCCAGGGCTTTTTTAAGATAAGCTATGGCACCATTTACAGTCTCAATCACTGAAGGAATGCTGAAGCCAGAAGCCTCCAGCCCCTGCAAAAGTTTACATCATCTAGAAAGATCCCAGCACTGCTTGTTCTTTGAGAACTTCACATTGAACCAATAATTCAATTTTGTGAGAAACTGTCTGCGAAGTTCTGTGTATCCTAAACAAAATTTCACATCGATAATAATGCTCCATACCTTAGTAAACGTCTTCATATATCAAAGTTCACAGTTGTACTCTGCAATGGTTGAAATATGTGCCTTTCAAACACTTTTGTGTTGAAGGCTTGGTGGCAGCCTATTATGAAGCTGAGAGGTACTGGGGTCCGGGTCATGCTGACTCTGCAGTTCTGTGTTTAAAACCAAATATCCATTAACTGATTGGGTGGAAACCAAATTGTTCAGATAACTACTAATTGAATCAAATTTGTGTGTATGTGTGTGCCTGTTAATATTGCCCAGTAATATTTAAAACCTCTGCTCTATTAGCTCAATGAGAAAGCAAAATGGAATTGACTGCACTCTATTCTCTCCGAGCATAAGTGTCTGATTCTGTGAGAGCAAATTGAATTCGGGGACCGTTAAAATGTACGCAAAGAGAAGGAACTCGTCTTTCCAGGCACCACTCATGACCCAAACAGCCAAGTGTCTGGCATTTGCCTGTCAGCTGCTTTTCTGACCATAGGGAGCAGCCTAGATGACAGGAACACAGATGGACATCCTGAATGATTAATGTGTCTACCAGACCTGGTAGAGGGGATGCAGAACATGGTGGCAGATATGAACTGTGTAGTCTCTTTGTGTAGTGCTCCTTCCAAGGTTGACATGGAGAAGATCAGGCAAAATTCCAGCTCTGCCCTTTGCTGGAAAATCTGATGACAACCTTTGCTTTACAAGACCCATTTACCAAGACCTGGCTTTTCACCGGAAGTTGTACCACCTTCCTGCCTGATCCATCACAGTTGTCCTCATCCTCTCTCCTTCCTCTTTTCCTTTCTTCCTCTGTGCTTTCCCCTCTCCCCTGCTTCGTGAGACGATTTTTCCTTCGTTTCTGCTCCTTTTCCCAAGCACGATCTCAACTCAGTGACATATGAATGCAAACTAGACAACTAGGGTTAGCACTTCAGAGTGACGAACGAACAAAGGGAACTGGGTGATGCTGTGAAAGTTTGGGGAGACAGCATGGAGATGGAGAAAAAACAAACTGCTCTGTGTGAGCACACCCACCACTTCCTAACCAAGTGGGCCATTCCTAAGCAAGATGTTCCTAATGTAATGGGAACACAGTGCACCAAGAGTTCACCATTAGAAACAGGTCCCACATGAGAGTATCACCCCAGGGTCACCCCTACATTGGGGCTGTTCCTTTTGTAGTGGTTTGCTTTGTTTTGTTTGGGTTCTGCATACTGAACTCCAGACCTTACACATGCTAAGCATGTATTCTACCACTGAACCACACCCCCAGCCACATGGCTTTAATACTTTTAGTGTATTGTGAATATGTAATAGAGATACTTGCTTTTCAAAATTAATTAGTTTTGAAACAGCAATAAAAACATGGAAAAGGTAGAAAGGAAAGGACAGCATTCTGTTGGTCCTACCTCTTCACCCTCCCCGCCCCATGTTTACCAATGTTTATTTCAAAAAAATTAATTGAAACTGAATGTGTATGCTTAGCATGTTTGAGAACTTGGACCCTTAGGCTTCATCCGTGTGTGTGTGTGTGTGTGTGTGTGTGTGTGTGTGTGTGTGTGGTCTTAAGTAGATAGAAAGCTTGAATGACAAGTATAGAGAGGTCACATATATCCCCTACCAGCTTCTCTTAATATATGTATATTTTGCTTTGGTATAACACATTTTTATAATGGCAACATCATGATGTGTGTCACAAAATTTAAATATTATTTCAAACTGGTTATAGCAAAATA